CCCCGCCCCGCCCCGCCCGCCCTCCGGCCCCGCCTCCCCTCCCTCGGTAGCCGGGTCTCCTCAGCCCCGCGGTCTGCCTCATTCGCTGAGCAGGTCCGTGAATTGTCGGAGCGCTCCCGGCGGCTGCTAAGCCGGGGCGGCCGCCGGGCTTGTCGTATTCCCTCTGAGGTGCCTGCTTAACCAATGTGCCCGGGTCTGCTAGGGCAAGAGCATTCGCCGTTTGGGGGCAACTTGGGATTCAGGACCCGCAGCCGAAACGTCGACTGGCGATCCAGACTCGGAGAGGAGGGTGAGTGGCGGCGCGCAGGGCGAGCGGCTCGTCTCGGCGCTGTTCCGCGAGCCCGAGGACTGGACGCGTCCGGGTGCGCGTCGGTCCGTCTGTCCGAGGGTGGCAGCTGTGGGGAAGTCAGGGCTGGACGGAATTTATTCTTTGCCAGAATTTCTACTCCTGAACTTCTTGTTTCATAGCGTCGCAACTCGGCCCGGGACGCGACTCTGCGTTCACACTAACTTGGTGTATTGTAATTGCCATCATTAGGTGGGGCCCAGGGACGCGTCCCCCGGCTTTCTGTGGCGGCGACTCGCTCTCTGGGGTGGCCCCTGTGCCCAGTAGTGTAGGAACAGCAGTTCCTAGGTGGCTTGCGATCGGGCTCCTGAAAAATTAACCCGCGCTGGGGGCGGTGCGGTAAGATAACCAGCGTCCGAGTCCGATCTGTAGCCTGAGCCAGCGATCGTCGCGTTTCGGTGGGTCTTCAGCGATCAGAGAACTTAACTGACCAGCCAGGTTCTGTTAGCTGGGGCTTCGGTGCTTTGCAGTTATTGAAAGGAATTGACAGCACGGATATTAAACTTTGTAAAGTAATTACTTTCTATTAGCACTTGAATCCGCATCCCTCGTGAGGTGCTTGGACCTCCATCCACATCACCGGCAAGGTGTGTCGTTAGAACCAGTGGGGAGCTACTGTCTGTCCCAGTGCCCAGAGCCCGGGAGAATCCAAGACTAGACCGTGAAATAGACCACCAGGCTGGTCTGTTGGTGTTTGCTTGAGCATCTGTGTGTTTAAGTGATGAAGTTGTGACAGGAACTGACAACAGGATTTAAGGTTAAACCTGACACTTCGTTTGTGACTCAGTCTGGGATAGATTTTTTTTTTTTTTCTTAATCTTAATGATAAGGGGTAAAAGCAGCTAGTTTTTCTGAGGGCAGTTACATACATGTGTTTTTTTAATATGTGTGGACTAAAGAGAATTGAATACAATCTTGTAATTCTTATTTGATGTGAATGAGAGCTTATTGAGTACTAAATGGAGACAGCTACAGAATTTGGGAATATTTCGATCTTTGAAAATAATTAGAAACGTTGAGATATATAGCTATATCTGCACATATGCATAGGTACACGTGCATGTATGTATGTGTTCATCAATGTGCTTGGGTATGAAATTGATAGGTGAATGAAGTAGAAATATATGGAGAAGGAAACAGCCTTGGACTTCCCTTGGATGCAGAGGTGGACTCTCTGATCTGTGGGGTGTATGATGAGTGTGTGTAAGCATGTCTGGATCTGCCTGGTCTGTCTGGGTCAGTGTATGTCCATGAACTTTACGAGCATTCAGTTCAATACCACTCTGTGCAGATTCTGCGTTTTTGTTTTATAGCCCAGCAGCCGCCAGCCCGCCCATCTGTTAAAACATAACATGTATACTTCAGTGGGAGCACTAGGATGAAGCGTGGGTAGGGGGCAACCCTTAGTGGAAACAACATGCTACAAACAAAGCCTGCCTCTCGAGTTCTATTTTCATTCCTTATTCAGCCTGAACTTGTGATTTTGGTGGGGAGAAAAGGAGTGTTTGACTCTTCAGAAATTGCAAACTACATTTTGTGAAAGAATTATAGCCATGATCTGAGGAGAGGAGTTTACAGGAGAAAAAAATCCCTCCAGAAGAGAAATGCGGTGCTTGTCACATCACCATGCAACACTGGTGTACTGCTTTGCAGTAGCATGTATTTCAGAAACTCTTTTGCTTCTTAAGAGAATTCACTGCACCTGAATTGTTTTGCACCACCCCACCCCACCCCCAGAAAAATCCTTAATAGAAGTAAACAGAGCTTTATTGCAGAGGCTATTTAATCTATTAGAATTAAAACTGCCTTAGCAATTAAAATGAAACATGTTTTGGGGAATTTATAACTTGGATATAAATTCACATTCAACCTAATCATTAGTTGCAATGGTTCACAATGTATAG